AACACAAAAATTTAACGCCACATTGAGGTAGGTAAACCCTTTCCAAAAACTTCAAGTAACCAAGCAAGACCCACCCGGACAAACTAAATAAACTTATAAAGATCTGCGCAGGGGATGAAACTGATAAACAAACAGTAATAGTTTGTAAGTAGGGCAGGACCGATTGGATGAACTTTCTTTTCCTTCAAGACATTTATTCCAATATTTTTCTTAGGCAAAACTGGCCATCGTGCATTACGACGGTTAGAATATATTGGCCTAGTGGATTGAAATACCAGGGCTTTGAAGACAGTAGAATCAAAGAACGTTTGGTCAATCTTTGGGCATCTTTACTTTCAGATTCTTTCATCTTTACTTTTGGGCATCTTTACTTACTCTTTACTTTATAATTAATTTGGGGACGTAGTTCGTTTTGATTCCAAGGTATTACCTTGATCTTCTCTTGTTAAGTACACATTTTAATAAGCACAGCTAAAAACTACCGAATGGAAATGTTTGCTTAATGAATGTTTTTTCGCTTAACAATGTCGTTAGTACGTCTCAGTCACAACTGAAGACTGCAAAAATATGGCTTTCCTTGACTTCTGTGTAAGGTTTGCATGATATTGTGGTAAAATGTACTACAACCATCTTTTCTTCCTACGGTGGATTAATTCCTACTTTTCGCTGTGCATTTCGAGTTGATGCACTTGGGAATTTGGANATGCACTCAGAAGAAGGTAATGTAACTTTACCCCTTATTGGTGGAAATGTTTCAAGTCCTTTTCTTATATTTCAGGTCTTGGAAAACAGTATTTCTAATTGGACAGAGCTCCAACCCCAAGCTAAATGACTTGGTTCATCAGGAAGCAAGCATCTACAAAGACATCGTCATAGGATCTTTTAAGGATACATATCGCAACCTTTACATGAAGATGGTGTTTAGCCTCAAATGGCCACTGGACCAAAAGTGCCAGGCTTCTTACATCCTTAAGACAGATGAGGACTGTTTTGTTAATGTAGGCAATCTTCTTAACTGGCTCAGCAACCACCATTTAGCCAATGGGACACACCCACTTTATGCCGGTAGAGTTCAGCTAGGCATGGAAGTTATAAGGGATAAGGGAAGTCGTTACTACGTCTCTGAGAAAGATCATCCCGCCGAGATATTTCAGCCTTATGTGTCCGGTGGAGGCTATGTTTTCAGTGGAAGTCTGCTGCCATCACTTGCTGAAGTTTCACAGAGTTCGCCGCTTTTTCCAAACGAAGATGCGTTGCTCGGCTCTCTAATGTATCGACTTGGGGTACAACCGACAGACAACAACAAATTTTTGCCTTCAATCTTCTGTGAAATCCCTGATATAGACAGGTTCCGAGAAGCAAACATGTGTGCTTTGTCAAGACAGATTGTTTTGCATGGTGTACAGGACAAGCACCAACTGGAAATGCATTTTAACAGCGTCCTGCTAAATTATTTTCCCTCGCTTTGTTCTTTAGAGACCAATTACGAGAATATGCGAGATCACTGCAAATCATAATGAACAAATCAGAATGCTGTAAGACAGAAATCTTGACCAAAAACCAGTAATTAATTTGAACAAGTCTATGCTACTGATCGAGGGAAACTAAAAAGAGTATCTCGCTTTTATAGATTTGCACCCGCGCTTGAGATCCACTTGATGATCTCCTGTATTCTCCCAAACTGATTTCTTGACATTTTATTTATATACAAGGAAAATTTAGTTGTTAATTACTTATAAGAAAGTCAAGAAAACCAAAGTTGGCG